ACGTCGATCGTGAGTTTCGATCTATTCTTTGATGCTGACTTCTGCTTCTACCTGTGATTGGTTGCGTTACCCGGATGAAGACAGATTCGTATAAAGAGAAATATTTAAGATTGAATTGTATCATTTTCAAGTTAATTGTGAACAAATGTTTTATTATAATAAAAAAATAAATGACGAATCGTATTTCTCTTTGATTGTTCCAGTTAAATCTAGGGCTGGCAATATGGGCCAGCCCGCCCCGGCCCGTCACTAGCCCGCCCAAAATGGCCCGGCCCGCCTGGACCCGTTTTTGACAAAATAGGTTGAATTGAGTAACCCGGCCCGTTTTATGAGTGGGCTGGCGGGCTACGGGCCAGCCCGCCTAAAATAAAAAAAATATAAAAATAAAATACAAAAAATTAAATTCTGCATAAAATCACATAAAAAAATCTGCATAAAAGCATACAAAAATCTGCATAAAATCCTAATGTGCTTATGAAATCAAGAAGATCAGTGTTTAATAATCTGCATATAAATATGCATCTTTCAATCCAAAAAAAAAAAAAAAAAAATCATATCAGGATAAAATAGAGTAACAAAACAAGTAACAAAGTGTTGTATGAGCAGTCCACAACAATTCAAAAAAGCCACTTGCATGCAGAGAAATCTAAGATACGGAGCTACATAACAATTGAGTAATTTAAAAAAAAAAAAAAAGACTTGGCGGGCTGACTCATATGGGCTGACGGGTTTGGCAGGTTGAAAAACTCTACCCAGCCCACCCCATTTGGCAGGCGGGACGGGTCAGCCCGGCGGGCTCAGCCCATTTTTCCGGGCCTAGTTAAATCCTTCCCAACCGCAACCTTAAACGTATTGTGGACTTGTGGTAATTAATGGAAACTGGAACCTTCTACGAAATTATCCTCCCCACACTTGAAATATTAAATATAAATTGCGGGTAGCTGGAGATATTAAATTGCATGTTGATATTGGTGGGCAAGCAGTCTCTCTTTGTTTCTATATGGATGCCTTGAATTCCTTTTGCAATTCTAGAAAGGTGAAATTATTAGGATACTTTCAAGAACTTTCGTCAGAAATCACCTCCTTTAATTACTAGGACAATAATTACTTTTAATTTTCACTATATAAATTACAAAAAAAGGGGAATAAATCCTACCATTTTTAGTTTTAACATAGTATGTCATGAGAAAAATATTATCCTTTATACATATATCAAGGTTCATCAAATAGAGTGATAATTTTTATTTTTTTTATTTTATAAACTTTATTATTAGAATTGTAAAAAATATATTTTTTTATACATGAAAAATGAATAAAAGACAAAGCAAAGAAATATAGACATAAAATAAAAGATTAGCCCTTTCTTTTCTGAGGATGAGGAATGTCCGTCACGTCCGCTTGGAGAAGAAGTTTCAGCGAGCCAAGAGATTCGTCAAAGATAACAACATCTTGTAACTTATAATTATCGGGGGGAAGATTAGCTAAAAAATGAGCATAAGGATTGACTTTTCTAAATGCATGTATAACCGAAATCTGCTAGTCACGATCAAGAAGTGCTCGTATCTGCGTCACCAAGCGAGACCCACGAGATGCACCATCACATTTGGTGAGCAAAGCGACCACCAAAGTGGAATCACTCTCAAGAATTAGATGACGCCAACCTATCTATTAAGCAATATTAAGACCATTCCAAACCCCCCCCCCCCAACCCCAAATTCAAGCTCAATGTGAAACGAAAACCTCATGAACCAAGATCCATAAGGGTTGCGAAACAAACTCCCATAAGCAGGGAGATCCTCTTGCAGCACCATTTGTATTAAGCTTAATGAACCCAAATGTTGGAAATTATAAATGGACTAAAATATCAATTCGATAAGGAATATCAGATGTAAAAATACCAATCATGTCCACACATTAACACTGAATAAAGGCAATAGAATGTGGTAATGGAGCAGCCACCATATGAGAATGAACAACTTGATTTCGCCAATACCAAATCTGATATAGGAAATTAACGAAAAAGGAAGACCAACTATGAATATCAAGCTTCTCAAAGAATCAAAATTCACGCAACCAGTAGAATAAATCGCGCTGAAAAAATTCATCATGAAGAGCTAAAGGAATAAAGGCACGCCATGATTCACGAATTATCGAACAATCGCGCAAAGCATGAAGAATTGTCTCATCTTCTTGCCTACAAACGGGACAAGTACTATCTTCATAAGACCAAGAAGCAATCCAATTTCTAGTAGTTACCATGAGCAATCTTCCATAAAAGAAGCTTTAAATGATGAAGGTCATTCCACTTCCATATCTTAGACCAATACCTCTCCTCCCAAATAATATGTTCCAACTCTTGAATACCACTGATCAGATTATATAACACCCTAACCGAGACCAGATCACCATTTTTCATAGTCCATTGTTTTTTATTAGGGGGCTCCAAATCCGAAGGTGGTATCACACTACAGATATATATGCAACACCACATCAAAAAGAATTGTAAATATTGATGTGTGAATGAATTGCTGAAATCCATTTTTCAAATAGAATTGTATATGTCTAATCACGTATTAGAAAAATTAACTCTTATTTTAATAACAAATAAGATTTTTTTGATTACAAATCGTAAAGTTAAGGTACCATTTAATGTATAAAATATATATTTTTCAACCTATTTTTAAAGTATAATTGATGAAAAAGTTGACAAAATATGTTTTGCTATTACACTACTTTTCTAGAATAATATTGCATTCTTAAGAAATTTATTCCATCTTAATTTCTGAATTTTTTTAAAACATTAGTGACCAAATGCAACTAAATGCTAAGGAAGTCGGCATCATCATAAACTTGGAATTTTTATTCGGTTGGAGCGAAACTACTTCATAATTTCACTAGGCATTGCAATTTGTATCGCTTCCCATTTGGAAATAAAAAATTCACGAATTTATGTATATATATATATATATAAAACGAATTAACTCAACCGATTCAGCTAACCTTTTAAAAATTTGATTGAATCCCAGGGTTGATTCAATCAGTAATATACGGATGTATCGCCAAAAAGAATAGCGATTCAAATTCTAGAAATGATTTTTGGGGCCAGATTTAGACTGAAAATTTAATTAGACATGTTGTTCAGCCAACTTTACGGAAAATAATTATATTTTCTATTTGTATTTTTCAAATTCAATTATAATTCAATTACAAATTTAATAAATTTAAATTAATCTAATTATAACTACAAGTTACAAAACTAATTCATTTAATATTTTATTCATTTATTAAAATATTAATTTAAATCAATAAAGCAACACAATAATGAAATTGTTAAACAGAATTGACTCAGCTGGTTCAACCTTTTGTTTCTTATATTTTTTATTTAGTAAGTGATATGTAATTTCATATTATGAGGGAGTTAAGACAGCAAGAAAATCTGGCTATCATGTCCATATTATGAGCTGCATCATAAAAAAATAATTATTTTTTCAGAAAAATATTTCTACAATTAATGCAGATAAGTTATCTGTATTTACTCCCAAAACGATATCGTTTTGGAATTGAAAAATTAAAAAATTATAATTATAAAGACTAAAATAATCCTGAAATAAATTAAAATTATAAAAGCATTATGATTTCCGTTCTAAAACGACATTGTATTGGACTTACTGCAGAAAAAATAAATCTTTATTTTTAACCATATTTGATAATAAAAAAATGGGAAAACCAAAAGTCTATGTTACAGGAAATTTTGTTTTCTTCCTGCACTCACATCGTTTAACATGCAATGCTTTTTTATTTAATTTTTTTCTATTATGTAGCGAGCCCCACAAAATTACGTCTCAGTGACATGATATGCCAATATTCCTGTTACAAGATATTTACAAAACCCTAAAAAAATATATGAGCGTTCAATATTCCTGTTTCACTAAAAATATTTTCCTCAGGTAGTGTTTGGTTGGGGAGAAATTTTTCAATACTAGGAAAATGTAAATACTAGGGATCTGGAGGAAAAATGAGTTAGATAGAAAAGTTGTAAAAAAGTTGTTTGATGGGGAAATTTTTATCAGGAAAATTGAATTAAATTTCTGAATGTGTGTTTGGTTGAAGATAAAATATTGATGAAAAAATTTAATGAAATTATAAAAATATTCTCGTAAAAACACCTATAAAACATCCTTCGAACCACAATAAATAATGTGTCAAACGGCTTTATCAATAGTGCCCTTCTCCAATTTATCCGATTTTGTTCTACAATTCCACATGGTCAAACGGCTTTCTCAATAGTGCCCTTCTCTAATTTTTGGTCATCTTTCTCGTTTGCTAGCCAACGCTCTTAGATGGGAAAATCAACTCAAAACCTTCAACCAAACGTGGTTATGATAGATACCCACATGCAGTTAGCCATCAAAATTTACACTTCTCCCCATCCAAACACTACCTCTTAGAAAAATGAAAAGGGTTCGAAATTTGACTTGACAAAGAAATGAGCATTGAGAAAAATGAACAAGAAGACAAGATGTCCCCGCTGCTTTGGAATTATTCTATAACATTATAATATTGCGTCATAAAAAACTATAAAAATAATTACAATGAAATTAATTGTTAATTACGTATGGTTTATAATTTTATTTTTATATAACGTAATCGTTAAAAAGTCAAGCGATTTAAACTAGAAAGGATAACTAATGGAAAGCGGAACCTTCAACGAAATTATCCGCGGGTCATCTGAAAGGACATCGCAGCAATATTATATAAAAATAATAAAAAAATAACATAATATTATAATAAAAAAATAAGCGAGGAAAGGAAAGGTATATTTTTATTTTTTTTAATCGTTTCAGCTCAATCCATTCCAAACGTATAAGGACATTGCGGTAATTAACAGAAGACTGGAACCTTCTTCGAAGTTATTCTCCCGTGACTTGAATTGAAATATTAAATATATTGTTATCAAAAAAAAAAAAAAAAATATTAAATATAAATTGGGGGGTAGCTGAACTGAAGCTATTGAATTTCATAATCAACAACTTGTGGTTTGTTTTGCATTGCGAATTTTTCTCTGTTTCTGTGCTAGAAAGCAATGGATGCCTTCACTTCCTTTTACGATTCAAGAAGACGATGGAATTACGATACTCTCAAGAACTTCCGTCAGATTTCTCCGGTCGTTCAGAATCACCTCAAGAAGGTAGTTTAATTTTTCCCTGGGATTTTATAATGCCTTATTCTCTCAGGATCTGTTATTATCGACGACATGACTTTTAATTTAGTTCTTTCATCAATTTGCAAAGAAATGATGGATTTTCTAGGGTTTGTGATTTGCCCTTGACGTGTGTTACTAATAATGTCTCTTCTTGCTTATGCCAATTTCGCTGATCATAGAATTTACAAAAAATAAAATTAGGTTTATAGAATCTTCGGATGATGGATATATTCATAGTTTTTCTGAATTAGTTTTTTTTTTTTTTTTTTTGTACCATATTCCCAATAAGGCTGTTTCTTTCGTGTCCTTCTTTCTTTACCTTTGTCTTTTGACCATAATTTCTTGATTCCTTTAATTTCTTGATTCCCAATTAGGTTTATTTCACCTTATGTTTCGCCGTGGTTGCTGCTGCTGCTGGAGCTTACCTGCATGTTCTCTGCAACATTGGCGGTTTCCTTACTTCAGTGGCGTGTGTGGGAAGCAGTATTTGGTTACTTTCAACTCCTCCTTATGAAGAGGCATGAATCAGATGGATCCTGTGGCCTTCTGTTCGTTTCACGGTCCTTTAATTCACTTGTTACTAACCTGTGTTTTTTTTAATGATTTGCAGCAAAAGAGGATTACTTTGTTGATGGCTGGGTCACTGTTTCAGGGTGCCTCTATTGGACCCTTGATTGATTTGGCTATTCACATCGATCCAAGGTATGCTTCCATTAACCATTACATTTGGCAGCTCATAAGTATTGATATTGTGGTCAATTTATTGCGTAAAGATACATATAATACGTACATATTTCGTGCCAAATGTCTTTTTGTTACCAGAAGGGGACTTGAGATCAAATCTCACCTTCACCATGGGGAGTGAAGGAATGGGGTTTGGGAAAAGGAGATGATTGCCACCTATAATAACTTAACACCGATGAACCAAAAATGGAGCTTTTTTTTTTTTTCTTCTTCTAACAAGTACTTCCTCTGTCGATAGTGCTTTGTGACAAATGGCTAGTTGCTTCTGTGGTTATTTTTTATTTTTGGATGAATTTATGACTTTTTTCTTCCATTGCTCCAGCCTCATCTTTAGTGCATTTGTGGGAACTTCCTTGGCCTTCGCATGTTTCTCTGGAGCAGCTTTGGTTGCAAGGCGCAGGGAGTACCTGTACCTTGGTGGCTTGGTTTCTTCTGGGTTGTCTATTCTTCTCTGGTTGCACTTTGCTTCTTCCATCTTTGGAGGTTCAACAGCTCTCTTTAAGTTTGAGGTAAGCGGCGGCCATTGTTTTTGTTTTTGTTGAATTATCTTGGGGCAGTCTGAAGCTTTGGTATGGAACTGCAAGAATTTTTCTTATATGGGGTTTATTTCCTATTTCTGCAGTTGTATTTTGGGCTTTTGGTATTTGTGGGTTACATTGTAGTGGACACGCAACAAATAGTTGAGAAGGCACACTTTGGCGATCTGGATTATGTGAAGCATGCGTTGACCTTGTTTACTGATTTGGCTGCAATTTTCGTCCGGATTCTTGTTATCATGGTAAGTATGGTCCTTAAACAGACCTTTTTTAGACTCTACTTTGTTTTTCTCTTTTCTTCTGATAAATTTGTATTGACGGGTATTATTCTTTTCCAGTTGAAGAATTCATCCGCGAGAAATGAGAAGAAGAAGAAGAGGAAAAATTAATTTTCTCGCTGATCAGCTTGACCTTTCTCCTCGCTTATTCTGTGGAGATTACATGAAACAGTTGTCTATGAAGTGTTGTTACTTCTTGAACTTGTTCCTACTGTGCAATTAGTCGTGTGTCTGCTTTATATCAGTAGTGCATGTGGGATATGTTTTTAAGCTTTTCTAATAAGAGAAATTCTTACATAACGTTAGTTTTGAGGATGAAAAGGGAGAGAGAAATGAAGTGGGGGAGAATTCAATGGTGAAAGATCCCTCACAAGTTCTTACTTCAGGACCATGTGAGAATTTTTCTCCAAATAATCGCTAACCAATCGACAATTATTATAGATATTTTGTTTATACATGAAGTAGAGGAATTCTTGTATACTATTAACACTAAATCGATTAACATTAAATGATTGCGTAAAGTTGTGTTACATATATTTTAAATTTTGTAATAATAATAAATTGAATCTCTAAAAAAGGGGTATTGTGTCCTCTCTCTGTTTCCCTTTTTATAGACGTTAATAAATTTTGGTAGCATAAAGTTTCGATGGCTTATGGGTTCAAAGATATATCTGAGAGGTTGAAAACCTTAAGATTGTGGTAATCCCCGGGGGGCCAGGATGTTTGCAGCTTCTATGGGATCTGGAAGTACTGATATTATTCAACACTGGTCTAGAATAGATCTAAACCTGATTGATAGAATATACTTTGCAATGTAAATAACTCGGTGGATTTTATGAATTGATGGAGGAAATAGTAAGAACTATTGTCTGGGAAAAAAAGTATTAATAAGGTGATAGTCAAAGTTAATACTCTAGTTATTTCCAATGTTGTAGGAGTGCATCTACCGTATTGCTTGCGCGCCTTTTTAAGTTGTAATCGTGGCCTCTATCCTTACAACCTGTGTAAGCGGCTGACCCACTGGCATCGTGTGTTTCGTGCTTAAGGTCCCCTTCTCAGGTTCCTTTTGCATATGGTCATGTTTGAATGCATATGAACAGTTTCATAATTTTGAAAAATAAATATAAAAGTTGTCACCGAAAGCAATGTGCAAATAAGTCGGGCCGAAAAACCCTAGGGAGCTGTTGGTAGTAATTTTTCAAAAGAAGAGTTATCGGTGTCAGGGAACGGGTTGAATTAATTTTCTTCTTATTTTTCGTGAATTGGAACTTTATTTGGTTTTAGAACAACAAAATTTTGTAATTTGTATCAGTTATCAAAATGTAATCTAGAAGTAAGAAAATGATTTATGAATATTAAAAGACTTCTGGGTATATCAAAAAATCATGGATGACAAAAATATTTGCAAACTGCAAATTCGTACAGTGCTGCAACGAGTTTATCTCAGTTTCTGAGTTGCTACGACAAGTTTAGTTGAAACTTTCCGGAATCAACGTTAAGGTTCAAGAAGAACTTTACCCAAAGCTTCTTGAATCTTTACAAAAATTTATCAGAAATCACCTTTGATTATCCCTAATCCAAAATGGTTCATTTAATACTTAATAAAAATGCATTTTCCAATTTATTTTTGTTGAATTACCCAAGTTTCATTCCCATGAATTACTCGAGTTTTAAAAGTGAAAGAATTAAACGAATGAGATAAAGAAACCTTAACTAAGAACATCAAAAATTCATCCAATCATTTTCAACCTACCCAGAAAATAAAGGACTTAGAAACCCATATTCATGTAACGAAAATCACAGATTAAAGAAAACAGAAACATTCATTAAAAGATAAAATTAAGTAAATGTTCAACAGTGTACCGATCCTAAATTAGAGCAGGATCTTGAATCTCCTCTTGCATGCACCTCCTTCTTCGATCCTTGATTCTTCAGCTTGTCAATGCTTAAAGTTTCTAGATCTTGAATAGTGAAGCAAGAAAGTTTCTTACAAAATGGATCTCAAACTTAGTGTTTCAGAGAAAGTACAAAGAAAGTTGAAAAACGTAAAACCTAATACTAAAATCTGATCTATATCCATTTTAACCCACACAAAAGTTAACTAAAAACTAAATCTAAAAACTTCTCATCACTAGCCGTCCATTCTTCTTTCATCCAACGGTTCTGAATATGTTTCTTCCCTTTTCAAGCTGATCCATATCCACCTGCACTTTGCATTCTTTTCTTCTCGGCTGAAATTAAAAATGAAAGTAAAACATGTAAGGAAACAAGCCAAATTCTACTTTTTTTTACTTTTTACCTTCACTTTTTACTTGGGCCTTTACTTAACTCATTTGGGCCTAATTTACCTGCAACAACACTAATTAAACAGCCCAAAGTTACTTAAATAACAAAATAATATAATATTAATATATATAATTTGGTGCTAACAGGAGCCCATGAGCAGTTGAAACTTGAACCGGCAGAGCATACATACAATGGGTGTTTGGTATGAGTATTTTGGTGAGAATGATAGGAAAGTGGGGTTGAGAATATTATTTGACCATGTTTGATATCAGGAAACGTAAAAACTCGGAATGTGATTTTTACGTTTTGAAACCAAATTATCCTGTTGAAATATATGCGGAGATATGTAAAAAGATTTTGCAAATAAACACGATTATCGAACTCGTCTTCGTCTGTGCCATAGTCAGATTTTGCATGCTGTAAAGGAGAAGAGCCATGGATGGTTCATCTTTGTCAACTCCAAATGGAATTTTTCTAGCACACAAAATAGGTCTGGAACCGATCAGTTCAGAGATCAGACAAGAGACTACCCGAAGGACCTACAAGTGGTAGGAGAAACCCATTTGCTTTGGAAAGAAAATCAGCAAGAAAAAAATAAGAAAAATGGCACAAACAATATAGTCATATCTTGCAAAACACGCCTGCAAGCATAATCAACTCTTGTCAAAACATGCCTGCACTGAGATACAATATTAAAAAATAATGGGTTATTTGGTAAATTCAGTTCAGATTCTCGTCAATATTTTATAATCAACCAAACGTAGCATCAGTTAAATTAACTAGATATTCTCGATGAAATTTTGAACTACCAAATACCTTTTTGTTATTTTTCCAGGAAAAATATTTTCTTACTATGTTTTTAGAATTTTTTTTTCCGATTAAAAAAAATATCTCCAACATCAAACGCTAAAAAAAAAACAAAAGAGGGAATGGCGGGTGTTAGGAAAGCAAATAAGGTAGTAGATGTGTCAGGCGAACAAATAAAGCGTGGAAAACAACCAAATGACTGTAAGGGGGATTTGGTTGAGGAAATTTTTTATGAATGATTGGGAAATGATATTCATAGGAAAATGGTAGGAAATGATAGGAAAGTGAGTTTGGTAGGAAAATATAAAAAAAAGTTGTTTGGTAGGAAAAAATTTAACTGGGAAAATTAGGTAACTTTTATAAAGTATATGTTTGGTTGTAGGTAAAATATAGATGGAAAAAAAAAAAAACAACCAACAAAATCCCAAATAGCCATGCAAATGGGGGGAATACCACATCTAAAGTGGGAATATTTGTCCATCAATTTTGATCCAAATAGCCATGCAAATGGATACCTAGCAAACTCATTTAGGTGGGCAAATTTGAAAGCTTGTCAACCAAACATGGGCACCCAATTTCCCCACTTCACATTTCCCTATCATTCTCCTCAAAAACCTTCAACCAAACACCCCCTGATATTAAAATCTTGTCAAGCTTCTCATTGAAAGTTTCAATAACCGAATTGTGGTTATCCTAAACGAGTAGAAAATTAAACCTTCTATTATGTAAATCAGAAATCTAATGTAATACCTACATTACGTGATGCATATTTTGCATGTTGGTATGATAGTTTTCTTCTTTCTCATGCATAAAATTATAAATGTTTTTTTAAAAATAAATTATGGAAAAAATATTTATCATTTTAAAAGACATAAAATTATATCATTTTAATTAAAATTATTGTGTTTTATTTTAATATTTAAATTAAAAAAACTTTCATTCTCTTCTACCATGATTTTTATTGTGTAACCGTTTCTCTTACCATAAAATACAATAATTTTAATTAAAGACACATTACATGTATGTCATTTAAAAGAATAAATATTTTTTCCATAATTATGTATAATTTTAGTGCTGCACTAAATAACAACAATTGTGGCTCTTTTCTCTGTGTCTGAAAAATATAAATGTTGACAGAAGTAAATGCCGAATCAATAAAAAGAATTTGAAAACACCCCTGCAACTAGGGGTGTTAATGAGCCGAGCTTTGGTCTTTACGGGCCGAGCCTGTGTTCAAATGTGTCAGACTGGCCTTAGCCTGTTACCTGTTACCTGTTACGAATATAATATCAGCTTGTGGCCTGACTTATTTACAAAAAATAAAAGCCTGGTTTAACCCGTTAGCCTCTTTTTAAAAAATAAGACAACAAAAATTTACCCAAACAAAATCTACAATCAACAACACTAGTAATTCCATAAATATTCATAAATTTAATGTATATCCAAATAGCATAATATAAAATAAAATCATTCAAAAAGTCTGTTTAATTAATAAAATAGGATGAAATGAATTGAGAAGAGAGAGAGTGCTATCACAAGTAGTATAAAAATATAAAATAAATAAAATAAAAAATATATTAGGCAAGCCTGAGAGGCTCTAAGGCCGAGCTTTTAAATTGGAGCCTGAGGCCTTTTTATTAAACGAGCTTTTATACAAGTCCAAGCCTGGGTCCAACAATCAATTTTAGACATGTAAGCTCAGGCCTTCACGAGCCGAGCCAAAGGCCCCTGTAAGGCCCTTGGCTCGTTTAGCACCCCTACCTGCAACAGCTCAAAGAACAAAGGACACTATTAGAATCCAAGAAACTCATCTGGAAGAATAGGAAAAAATGAATATTCACACTATCTGAATGTACAGTTACAACTTATATACATGAAGCTCTGAAGTATAACCGAAAAGCTAACTAAGCTAACTAATCTAACTTCTTCCGTAAAAATAGGAATCAGTTCAACTAATCAACTAACTTAAATTACACGTGGTCTAATTTAACAAAGCTCCAACCAATAAGAACTATTCTCATCATCCCCCCTCAAGGTGGGAGGTGCATATCAAGCAATCCCAGCTTGCCAACTAGCTGTTGAAACGTTCGTGGAGCCAAGGCTTTGGTAAAGGAGTCTGCTAACTGTTCTGAAGAAGCAACAGGTAACAGATGAATGAGACCACTGATAATCTTCTCCCGTACTATGTGACAATCGATCTCTATGTGCTTAGAACGCTCATGGAAAGCAGGATTATGAGCAAGGTAGATCGCAGATCTGTTATCACAGAATACTGCCATTGGTTGAGACAGTTTAATGTTCAAATCATCAAGCAAATAACGCATCCACTGTAATTCACACGTTAAGCTTGCTAAGGCCCTATACTCAGCTTCTGATGATGACCTAGAAACTGTATTCTGCTTCTTAGATCTCCACCCAAT